TTCTAATTTCAGACCTGGGTGTGTGTGTGTATGTGTACACAAATGTACATGGGTACATATAGAGGCCAGAGGTTAATGCCAGGTGTCTTCCTCAATCATTCTCTATCTTATTTTTTGAGATATCTCTCATTGAACTTGACCCCTGCTGTTTTATATTACATGCTATAACACTTCTGAAAAAAATCCAGGTGAGAAATAGAACTTTCCAAATATGGCAGCATTAAAATACACTGGTATAACGATGTTATTAGAGAAATACAGCCTAGAGTCCACACACATCCTCATCCTGTGTGGTGTATTTAGACCTCAGCAATTATGAGGAGAGCCACGGCAAGTATATGGGCCTTCAACTCTAATGTCTCTTACCAATTCTGTTAGACTGACTAAGGATGGCCAGCAAGTCCCAGGAATCCTCCTATTTCTGCATCGCCAGTGCTGACAGACACTCAGCTGCCATGCCTGGCTTTTTTTTTTTTTTTTTTTTTTTTTTTTAAACATGGGTGTTGAAGATCCAAACTCAGGTCCTTATGGTTGCATGGCAAGGACTTTACTAACTGACCATCACCTTAGTGCCAATACACGGTGTTTTATTTTGTGACTCTACAGCACACCCATGTTGCCCATCCAGTGGACCACTTTGAGACTCTGCTGAGCTAAGCACTCTTCCAGATATGGATATACTGTACTGAAGAGAATCCAAGTCTTCACTCTCATGCAGTTTACTGTCTAGAGCCTTTAGCAAGATGTTGGGGTATTCTGAATCACAGTTTCTGACTGCATCTCTTTGAGTCTGGGGTCACAAGAATCAACCAGGGAGAAAGTGCTTCCATGTACTTTATAAGACCACTGAGGGAGCAGACAAGCAAGCTCAGGTACTGCGAGGGGGCAAGGACTGAGTGGCACTGAACCTCACCTTGGGTAACAAGGAAATTGGTCACAGGAGTAAGCCCGGGAAGGCTTCATGGAGGAAGAGCATTTATAGGCAGCCTGCACAGTAAACCAGGTAAAGGCATCCAGAATTTACATCATCAGGACAGGAGAATGAGAGTACAGTTGTGAACACACTCATCAGCCCATGAAGTCCTCTGTGATGTGAAGCAATACTGTTTCCATTTTAAAGGCAAGAGTACTAAGCTGGAAAATTGTTATGTAATCCTGGATCTAGTTTATGCTGTTTGACAATATGCAGTCTTCCTAACACATATGCTTAATTTGGGGTTTCCACATCTGTTTCCTTGATGCCAGAGCTTCTAGCTTTCTGCTTGAAGAAACTGGGTAATTGAATGAATTGTTTTTAATCATATGGGGCCAATTCCAACTTCTAGTTCAGTTTCTGGGATTTGCTAAATCCAGTTTGTGGTGTAACTCTGTGGTAGGCCACACTGGCCTCAAAGCATGAAACGAGCCTTCCAAAGCAACCACGATGCTTGCTACTCTGGAACACACCAAAGACTTGATCTTTTTTTTTTTTTTTTTCCAATTTAATCGGAAAGTTATGTTCTGAGACTTAAAAAGAGTTTATACCGCAAATACCACCAGTATAAACTGACTTAGGAAACATTGGTTCTGCTAACAACTGAATCTACATTTGTTGTTTTAAGTTTTATTGTACATGTGTTCGTGTGTGTGTGTGTGTGAGAGAGAGAGAGAGACAGAGAGAGACATACATGTAGGTCAGAGGACAACTTTGGGGATCAGTTCTCTTTTGCACCTTTATGTGGGTTAAGGGGATCAAACAGGCCACCAGGCTTGTACCAGGCTTGTACAGTCAGGTGAAGCACCATTACCTATCAAGCCACCTCAATGGCCCCTGATGTTTTATTTTACATGCCATATGCCTGGCATGGTGGTATATGCCTTTAATCCTGGCAGGAGCAGGAGCAGAGGGGCAGAGAGGCAGAGGGGCAGAGACAGACAGGCAGAGGCAGAGGCAGAAGGATCTCTGTGAGTACATAGTAAGTTCCAGGACAGCTAGGGCTAGAGGAAGCCCCTGTCTCAAAAAGAGACCCCCCCCAAATTATTTTACATGCCATAACACTTCTGGAAAAAATCCAGGTGGGAAGTAAAACTTTGCAAATATGGTGGCATTAAAATGAACTGGGGTGGAAGTGGGGGCTGGTGAGATGGTTTAGCCATTAAGAACACTGGCTGCTCTTGCAGAGGACCTGGGTGCAATTTCCATAACCCACAAAGATGCTAACAACCATTTGTAACTCCAGTTCCAAGGGAACCTGAGGCCCTCTTCTGACCTCCACAAGCACTGCCCAACACGGGCACACTTACATACATGCAGGCAATACACTCATACAATAAACAAACAAACAAACTGGGATAGTGATGTCATTAGAGAAATACTGCCCAAGGTCCACATGTCCTTGTTCTGTGTGGTGCACTTTAGCCTCAGCAATTATGAGAAGAGCCACTGCAACTACATGGGCCTTAACTATTTAAGTCAATTTTGTGGGGGAAATGTTTAAGATCCTCCATTTCCCTTTAGGGATTATGTTCCAAACTGCCTGTTTCCTCCAAGGGGCAGGGCCTGCTGCGGAGAATTGAGTGCGGAGGGGCTTCTGGGAGCCATCTTGTGATGGAAGCCACTAGCCGCCACGAACCAGGCAGCAGGTGTGGAGAAAACGATGGCCCTGGTGTCCCACCCGTGTGGACATGAGAGGGGGCATTTACTGACCTGGGGTGAGACTGCCTGGCCAAGATGCTTGGGCAAAAGTTAATGGGGACTGTGGGCGGGCGTGGAAGCAATCTGGAATGGCGGGCAAGCTGTGCAGAGCTGGGTGCTGGGTGTGCATTTCTATGTAAGTACCCCCATTTACCCCCTCCCTACCCAAGGGCATAAACCATAACAAATTCACATAAAAATATGTTATATGGTTTGTCTGATCATGCACGAGACCCCAAGAGAACTCTGGTGACAGGGAGGTTATAACAGTTGTTTGACAAAGGAATATGCCTATAAATTGCAAAGGCCTTTGTAAACATTATTCTCCATCTTTAGAACTATTCAGATTATAGTCAGATGTCAGAGATGTTTCCTGGATTGTGAGAAAATGGATTGTAATACAGAGATGCTCCTTCCAAAGTTCACAGGAACGTGCACTCAGAATAAGGTCACTGATTTATAAAAGTGGGACTTCCTGCAGGGTGGAATGGAAGCCCTTCCCCAACTCAGTATGCTCAGAAGTCTACTCCTCTGAACAGGGAATTATGTGTGTGGTAAAGTAAGACTAAGGGATTTCTTTGTTCCTTGAAGAGATGAGATCAACAAGAGGAGGCAGGTGCCTGGGTGACCAAGGTACCTGGGTTACTCAGCCCTGGCATCAATGCCTTAAACTTGTAGGCAATCAGCCTCTTGACCTTGGAGTTCTAACTGTTCTCTGGAAGGCTTTCCTGAGGTCCTGTGGATGCACACCAATTAAATATTTTAACCACTCAGATTACTGGAAGTGAGAGGATATGGAAATGAATCTGGACTAATGTCTTTTTAAAAGCATTTTACTTATTATTTTTATTTTATGTGTATGAATGTATTGCCTACATATATGTAAGTGCACCTGTGCCGTGTAATGCCCGAGGGCAGAAGAGGGCAACAGATCCCCTGGAAGTGGAGCTGCTAGAGTATCAATAAGCCCCATAAATTTAATTGGTCCAGACTATAAAAAAATGTCTAGTCTATCTGTTGGAGGACCTACTTTTCCAGTCTCACTGGTCAATTACCTGGTGATAGAACCACTCCTAGGAAGACAATTTCATTGTAAGTTATGCTAAATAGATGGGCGGAATACCTGGTGTATTAATGAGGTGTGTTAATGAGTTCCTGCCTGGAACTAGCTGCAGCTCTCTGCAGAACTTCCAGACCAGCCACAGCTATGTAGGTCTCCCTAAGTCTGTCTACTTTCCTGAACTGTTTAGAAAAGTGTAAGTTCTCCTTTTCTTCTTCATACCTTTCTTATTAAACATGCTTTCTCTAAGGCTTTGGGCTGCCCCTAGCATCCTGTGTTTCTTCACTTTTTCTCTAAAGCTTCCTTCTCCCAGCCATGTGGTTGCAAATCAGCCATGTATCTGACCTCCATGCAGGCTCTAAACCTGCATGGCTCCATGGCTTTCTTTCCTTCTTCCCACTATTCTCCTCCTCAGGGCAGCTGCCAGGATTACCAGCTTGCCTGCCCTGAGGATTTTCCTTTAAGATTCTAATAAAATTGAAAAAGCTTCCGTTTGGGTCCATTCTTAAATTCTTTTATGAATGAGACTAAGAACCTTCTTTTATGAATGAGACTAAGAACCCTCTAGGGGACCCACTTTCTCCCCATTTCAGAGTTATGGATTGTTAGCTGCCATATGGGTGCTGGAAACCAAACCCAGGTCCTCTATGAGAGTAATCAATGCTCTTAACCACTGAGCCATCTCTCCAGCCTGTGGACTAATGACTTTTAATTAACCCCAACAAAACCATGTGCTCTTGTGTCTTGTGACCCTGGCATGTGATCTTGTAGCCTAGGCAACTTCAATTTGGTATTCCATGACAAAAAGATAATGAATGAATGAATGAATGAATGAATGAATGAATGAATGGATATGGGTGTGCTTGACAATTAACATACAAATTAACATATCAAAGCACTGAAAGGCAGCACCCATCTTGGTTGGACACAGTGGAGATTGGAAAGAATGATTACCTTGGATGAATGAGATATTCTAGAACTAGGGATGACAAAACCAGAAGGTCTGTTAAGATTAGGATGGAGCCAAGCTTGTACTTCCCCAATTGAAGCAGGAAAAGCCATTTTGAACACAATTATGGGTGGGGCTAGACTTGGGACACAGTTCAAGAGACAGAGTTCCAACAAGACAGTTCCATCAGCACAGTTCCAGGAGATGGACAGTTCCAGGAGATCTCTAGTGGAGCAGGTGTCCAAGTTTTGGCCCACTCTTAAAAACTAAGTTTAAGAGTTAGGTTATTTGTTCAGGTAATTATTATCATTATTATTTTAAATATGGAAGGTCATGAATTCATGTGTCATCCTTGAGCAGGGGCCATACTAATCTTCTCTGTATCATTCCAATTTTAGTATATGTGCTGCTAAGTGAGCCCTTGTTCAGGTAATTATAATGTTGGCATAATAACACCCCAGTGGGAGAATGGGGGGTGACTACAGGGAACAGCAAGAAAGAAAGCAACTTATGCTAGGGTGTGGAAAGAGTGGGAGAAATGTTCCAGAAGGGGAAAGACTGGTTTCTGGATAGGAATGTGGGTTAGTTAGGAAAGGTATGATATTTTGAGAAGAAAGGCAAGGGGAAGAAGGAAGGTAGATGGTTAGTTTGAAGACATCTTCAGCTTCTAGGAATTCTCTGGAAGACAATGTGAGCAGAGGGGAATGCAGGAATTCTATTGTAGCTATGAGGCACTGAATTAACTAATACTGAGCACCGTCCCAGCTGGGGATCCAGGAACAAACTCAAACCAAAGCCCTAGCGATTTTGTAGCTAGGGGTGATAAATGGGTGAGGTGTGACTTCGGTCCCTTTATCCACAAGACAATGCCCCCATCTACTTCCTAAGAAGTCAACTGGCCCTCCCAACCCATGGTGCGGTAATGACTTTTACAATATGGATGTACTCTGGACAAAAAAACTTTTACCTAACATCGCAAACATAATGTAAACAAGCTCTCTGTGCCATGTGCTCCTCTTGTGACCTGGGCATATGACCTTAGTCCCTCAGGACCCCTCCTTGCCTTCCACCCAAGATAGAGTATGAATGTGTGTATGCATGCTTTCCATATCAAGCATCAAAGTTGCAAACAGCACTTTTCTCATTGTAGACAATTAAATAAACTGAGAACCCTCTGTTTATAGTTGTATCTGTGTGTGGTATTCTAGGTCTAGGGATCAAAGGGCAAAATTCTTTCCAATAAGGATGGGTCCTGACTTCTTCCCCAATTCATACTGGATATACTGCTTCAATAAATAATGAGTGAAGCCCTTGCTCAGGAGCACAGTTCTAGAAGTCTGAATGAACAGGTTCTCAGCAGTTTGGGTCTGCCCTTGGCCTTAAATAGATGCTAAGAGTCAGGCTATTCTTTATTAAGGCATAACTGTAATGTGGCATAAATGCCACACAAGAGTTTCACATCTATGGATTTAACCAACCATAGATGGAATATAGATGGAATATACTTGTAACAATTGCACCTGTACCAAACAAGGGCAGACATTTTTCTTGTCATTATTCCCTAAATAATGCAGTGTAACAACTATCAACACAGCATTTACATTGTATTAAGTACTGTGAGTGATTTGGAGGAGGATGTTCATAGGTATATGCATATACAGTTCCAGACGACTGACTGTATACAATCCTAACAACCTTCATATGACAAGTGGTCTTTACCCATCTGATAGAGTCCCACCTGATAGATTATAGGCATATTAGTTACTTTTCTGTTGCTGTGATAAAACACCATGACCAAAACAACTTATAGAAGGAAGAGTTTAAGGTTCTGGAAGGATAAGAGTCCACCACAGAGAGAGAGGCATGGCAGGAGGCAGCTGGAGAAGAAAGCTGAGTGCTCCCATCTTCAAGCAGGCACAGGAAACAGAGAGAGAAAGCTGGAAGTGTGGCAAAGCTATGAACTCTCAAACCCTGCTCCAGCTTCCTCTAGCAAGGCCACACCTCTTGAAAGGTTCCATGACCTTGGTGTCTTTGGGGAGGACACTCATTCAAACTACCACATTGGTTTGAATGTGGGTTTTTTTTTTTTTTTTTTTTTTTTAAGGTCAGGAATTATATATTTTAGTTTTTTAAGTGCATAGAAAGAAATTAGTGCCTGGCCCATCAATACCATTTAATAAATGTACACTTAGCATCTAGCAAGTATCTTTTGAGTAAAAGTGTCCCTGCAGGCAGTGGCAATAATTTAACATTTGTGTCCTGTACCTGTAACAGAACCAGGGGTGAACCTCTCTGCCATTAGTGATGACTTGTGGGGGCTGAACTCCATCTGATTAAACAATTCAGGTATAGAAAAATCTTCCCTTGCCTGAGTGTGCAAATGGCTCTGAAACACTCCCTGCTAATAGAATCACCTTAGCTTTTGGCCTGAACTCAGCCCTAAGGGCCTGAAGCTTCTACCCAGCTGTCCTCTAGGCCAATCAGGAATGCCTTCTGGGTGGGCAGGTGTGGTCCCGTCAAGAGTTTAAGGCATCCTTTCCTACCCAGCCAAGGCTGGCCTCATATTACTTCTCAGCACATCCCCCAGACAGCTGCTACACTGACTGGAAATGGACTGGTAATACTGCACAGCCATGCAGAAGAGTCCACTATTCCTTAAAGAGGTGGGGACTGCTAACTGGTGGGAGGTACTGGCCCAGTGCTAATTTTCACTCATTGGCCCAGAAAGGAGGGATCTTATCAGATTCTAGCACAGCAGTGTCCAAGAGAAACCCAGAGCAAGTCACAAAGCATTGGATTTTGCATGCCATGGCAGCCATGTTAATGAAGTAAAAGCGAAGAGATTAATGACTATTAATGCATTTTGTTGAGCACAAAATATCTAAAATACAACATCAACATGAAGTATAAAATTACTAAGCTATTTTAGTTACTTTTTTCTGTGTTTTCAAACTTTTAGCATATCCTGATTCTAAGCCCAAGTCCAGTACTCAACAGCCACATGTGGCAACTACAGGGGGCAGCACAGCTCTGAAGGGTCATGAGGACATTTTGGGTGCTGCTTTTAACCACTAAGTATCAGTGTATGTTAGAAGAGGGGCAAGACCGAGGAAGTCTTTAAACTTTTCCTCTGGTTTCCCAGGAATGATCACGCCACAAAGGTAAAGTGGGTGGCTGGGGCACTCTGCCCTTACCACAGCAGCCATCTTTGGGTCAGCCTGCTCCTGCTATCTTGGTCTTTATTTACAGAGACAAAACAAGAATCCTAAGAAGAGCCACAGAAATAGCATATTGGTTTCCAATGAATGAGCCTAAAGTCTCTTCAGCCTGCTTGAACACTACAACTGTCCATTGACTGAGCAGTTTAATTTCAGTGGTAACTATTTATTGAGTACTAATTATGAAGCAAGCTTGATTCAGGGGTTGTAATGAAATATTAAAACTGATACTGTTAGGGAAAGAGGAATTTACTGTTTGTTTGAATATACTGCTTGCCTGAATTTACTGCTTGAAGTTACTTGTTTAAATTTACTGCTTGTAACCAATTAACTCAACTGGAGACACAGGCATCCGGAGATAGAGGCAAAGTGCTACAGCCCCCGGAGCCTGACCTGTTCTGTGTCATGTCATGTAGACATGTCTGCTCACAAAAGATAACAAGAAAGAGTCGTACCAGGCACATACCAACCATCCCTCCCCGACTGAGACACCTGAAGTGAGTTGTAACATTTTTCTTGTTTTAAAGTTATTGGTTTGTGAAATGCTTGCTTTGAAACTATTGGCTGTATAAACGCGGGCTTTTGTGTAACGGTTGTAGAAGCCTATATAATCTTTACCTAAAATTGTCTCAGGGTCGATCGCTCTAACCAGACCTGCGTGTCCTGAAAGGACGATCGGCCCCAGCTAGCTGGTTTAGTAAAACTCTGCTTGATTTTTGCATCTCCATACTCGTGCATTTGTTCTCCAGAAGAGACTCACCGAGTCACAGACCCTAACACGTCCTCTTTCATAAATTTTATGAAATTACAATGATGGAGCATCGGGGCAGAGTTTCTTTTCTCCGGACAGGCAGTGTAAATTGAGGGTGGCTCCCTCGTGTCTGTAAAATCCAGAATAAAGAGGGAATCGCCATCCCGTGTCTGGTCTCGGGTTCGAGTCCCAAGCAGGGAAGTCTGGGTTCGAGTCCCGGCACCTAGGGTCTGAGTGTCTCAGCCCTGGGGAAGAAGCCCGATTGGCAGAAACCTGGTGCCAGAGGAAGAGGAGGTCGAGCTCGTTACCTTGAGGCAGTCTGAGTGGACGCCTTTTGGGAGAATCACGAGGAGTCTCGGGGATCCTGAAAGTGAGAGTGGTGAGTGCAGCGCGCGTCTGAGTGAAAGAAGGACCGGTCCGAGCGAATACAATGAGATGTGGCACGCGTGCTTGATAGTTGTGCTAATTGTCTTACGGGGGGGGGGGTCTGGTTTTGTATTTTTCTCTATGCTCTCTATTTTAAAACTTCTACGCTCAATGTTTTAAACCTTCCCTTCCTATCTGTATCTCCCACTCCTCTCCATCCCTCTCTCCAGCCACTGAGAAAGCCCCGCGGGCACGGGTCGAGCTAGTAAGAGCCACAGGGGGGCACTCGCCACTGAAAGACTCCCGTGAGAGGATAAGGGGGTCCCAGGCGTGAATCCCAGATAAATTCACGTCCCCCGCAGAAGAAAAACTGGGCAAAGGAAGGCACCCGTCCATAAGCACACCCACTGGCCATCATTGTTTAGAGTGGCATCTTTACTTCTCCCTTTTCATCTCTCTCTCTCTCTCTCTCTCTCTCTCTCTCTCGCTCTCGCTCTCTCTCTCTCTTCTGTGACCTCCACCATGGGCCAGACTCAGGCCACTCCCAAAAGTTTAATCCTCTCTCACTTCTCAGAGGTGAAGGAACGGGCTTTGAAATTGGGCCCTAGCATCAGGAAGGGTAAGTTTGGCACTTTCTGCTCAACTGAATAGCCCACCTTTGGAGTAGGTTGTCCGACCCAGGGGTCCGTTTCCCTGGACACCATCGGCAAGGACAAGGCTGTCATTACCTGGCCTGACTCAGAAGGACCCCGAGATCAACTCCCCTATATCCTTCTGTGGGAGAACCTGGCAGAGGATCCCCCATCCTGGTTAAGGCCCCTCTTGGTGAGAAAGCCTCATGCTTGCCCACCAAAAGTCTCCATCATGGTCACCCAGGAAGGTTTGAAGTCCTCCAGTCACAGAGGCA